TGATTCCCAACGTTATGTTGGCCCAGTGGTAAATCTCCCAGGTGGAGGTACTGGGTTCGACGCCCGTTGGGAGATATCTCTTCTCTAAAAGAGATGAATTTAATCTGGTGTGGGTCCCGCTTCTGGGAGATGTAGGGACTTCGGACTTGAACTTCTAGATATTCAAAAAAAAAAAAAAAAGTGATTAAAACGAAGAGGATGTCGCTAGCTAAAAAAATATATCCAATGGATTGTTCATAATATCGATCACATTGCCAACCTTTATTTTACCCCTTTGAGTGTAATACTTAGAATTGAACAAGTAAATACTCGTATATATATATATATAATTTATGTCCCGATAAAAAATATTCATTGCGTCTGAGTCCTTCAACCTTATTTGGTACTCCCTCCGTTTCATAATATAAGTCGTTTTATCTTTAAACACGCAGATTAAGAAGATCTACTTTTACAAAGTTCAGCCAATCATAAAAGTGACTGCATAATATAAATAATTATAAAATATTAAAGTAATATATAAAGTGCATAGAAACTTGAAAACGACTTATATTATGAAACAAAATTTTTTTTCTAAAACGACTTATATTATGAAACGGAGGGAGTATTATTCTTAACCGAATACGTTTTTTATTGACTATATATGTTTTTGGTCAGAATTTTGACCAATTGTATTTTATAAGGAACCTATTAAATTTTTACATTGATGGATATTTTAAGTAAGGGAATATATTTACCAAGAAATTAGGGGTAGAAATTTTAAGCAAACGAATTGAACCTAAAGCTATTCAAATCGAATCATAATCGATATACAAACCACTTGGTTAAACTTATCTACAACTGGAATTTGGTTTGTTTTTTGTGTTTGTCTATTTCTAGGCATGTCAATTAAGCTATCCCGATTCCCGACACAAACCCGTAAAACCCGCATATATATGAGCTGGGTACAGTCCGCTCCTGCCCTAACATCGATATAGGGTTTTTTCGGGGTTTTCCATGCTACTCTTCGAGAAAGAAAAACAAACTTATAAGTTTAAAATATTTCTTAAAAATAGTAAATCTATGTATGAAATGAGCCAAAGAAACCATTAGTATTCATTAAACACAAGTTAATTTAAAAATAAAAGTTTAAAACCAAATAAATTATTTAAACTTATACCATATAAAATATAAAACAAAAGATTTGAAACCACATTATGTTGAAGATTCAAGATTTAAAATCCACTTCAATGCATTCTAAATTTAGCTCTGCTTCAATGCATTCTAATATTTTTTTTGTCCTTAAGTTATATATATATATATATATATATATATTAAATTTTAATTTTAAAAATTTTGATGTATAAATCATATAAATATCGTAGATAAATTTTTTTAAAGTATCAAGTAAATATGAATAATTTTATAACATGTAAAACCATCCAACAAAGTCTAAAACTTTTTAAGTGTCTTTTGGACCGGTCCAAACCCGGTCGGGCTAAACACGAAAACTCTTTAGTCTTAACTTCTCTAGATGTCACAAAAAGAAAGCTTGTCTCCCAAAAAGCGATAAGAGAAAGGGTATAAGAGAAGAGAATAGAAAAGAAATGAAGAACAAGAGAGAGATCTTCAAGGGACGACTTCTTTTAGGGATTAGAGGCAACGAGGATTTGTAAAAGCTGCAGGGGCTTCGAAAAGAGCATGTGAGAATCTGAAAGAATTGTAAAGAGGCCGCCGTGAAAGAAGTGTAGGGTTTTCACTTTAAGTCTCGGTCTTTATCGGCTCGAGTCTAGGTTTAAGGGTAAAAGTGTCAAAACACGTCTTCTTGGTAAGTGCAGGGACGAGCTCTTGGACCGGCTACGTGGGCTTTGACCGTTGTTGAGTATGGTAGAGAGGGCGGCCACAGATCCCATGACTGGTAAGGCCAAGAGCTTCCCGACCGGTCACGTTGCTTCTAGCTTGTCTGGACATATCTCCATTCTTCTGGTTGTATCTTCTGAATGGTTGAATAGAATGGTCTGATTCCACTTCGAGGTGAATCTTGACTCTTCTAGATTTTTGTAGCCTCCAAGAGCTCTTGATTTTGTGCACAGAAAGATCTTCAACGGATGCCCAACTTCGGAAGTTCTTAAACTGTCCTAAAATGGGTTTTGTTCGTCTTTTACTCCTTTTTGCTTGAAGACTAATAAATTCTTCTTGAAACAAAAATACTTGAAAAAGAAATTTTCACGTTTGACATGAAAAAAAGATTTGATCTCACCCTTTGGCAAAGTGAGATTCATTTCTCATGTTTTGGCAGTTATTCCGTTTTATGACGAAAATGCCCCTGACAAAAAACCAAACGGCACAGTTACGTTACGGTTTAGTTTCTATTAGCGGTTTAGTTACTTTTTGTTTTGAATTATAAAAAAAAAAAATTTCAAGAAAACGAAGAAGAACATTCATCATCTTCGTTCGACATCTCCGAGATATTCGAGATAGAAGTAGAAATCAGTTCGGAATTCATTCATCCATCTTCGTTTTCGACATCTGGGTTCGAATTGTCGGCTACTTCATTTGAAGCATCGCATTGAACTCGAAAAACCGGCGAAGAGAAAGTTCCAGGTTTTCAGGCGAAGAGGAACTGAGAAACATCCGGCGAGATACCAACCTTCGAGATGGCTGGGAATAAACCAAACGACGTAGTCTCTAGGAAGAAGCATACCCAAGAAGGCCCCGAGAAGGAGAAGGTGGAACTCAGAGTATCCCTGAGGAGGAAACTCCCTCCGACAAATCCTCCAGAGGAATTGGGTAAGTTCCGATATTATTCCGTTTGTAGTTTCTTTGGGTGTATCGTAATCTTAAAGCTTGTTTGATTAAAGGGATAGAAGTTGCCGGATTTTGCTAAATCTGTAGGTTGAAAATGTTTGAAGTTGAATTGGAAATCTCTGTTTCCGCCAAAATTCAGATTTTGAGTATATAATGTTGATAATTACTGTGTACGTACACGAATTCGTATTGTTTACATCCTTACTTAATTGTATATCACTTGTAATTTCAGGCAGTACAAGTGTTGCTCTGACTGAAGATCTTATAGTTGAAGAGTTACCACCAAGACTCTTTGCTATAGACCGGTACCCTTCGAAGACGAAGATGAACGCGTACTCCAAACTGGAGTACATTTCTTACATAGCGCAAGTTCTTAAGGGAAAACCTGAGATGCAGATGCTTCTCGACTCTCCATTTGGGTACCTTTTTGGAATACCTGCTAACAAGTCTTCCTTCTCAGGTAAGCTTGTGCTTGGATTAATATGCCGTCAGTTAGTGACAAATAAAGTGAATGAGATGTGGATGGTTTTCGGTGGTCATCCAATCAAATTTGGACTAAGAGAATTTAGTATGGTAACTGGGCTGGAATGTGGGGTGTATCCAAAGAAAAAAGACGTGGAGGCTGTGGTAAAGGTTAACCCTGGGTGTAAAAAAGTCTGGGATGCTCTGTTTGTGGAGAAGTTTGGGGAGGATGCGAATCCATTAGTGAAAGATTTGGTGGCCTGGCTGAAGGAGGATACCACCATGGATGGGTGGAAGCAACTAGCTCTATCACTTATAATCCTGGTAGATGGTGTGATAGCGTGCGGTAAAAACCCAATCAGGCCTCAAGATACGACTGTTGAGATGACGAAGAACGTGAAGTTCTTCTTGAAATACCCATGGGGAAGGCTGTCTTTTACCCGTACTTTGGAGAGGATAGCAAACTTCCAAACCCCTTCAGAAGCTCAAAAACTGATAAGGTGTGTAAAGGATGGGTCTTATGCACTACATGGATTCCCATTAGCACTCCAGCTGTTTGCGTTCGAAACAATCCCATCCCTTGCTAAGATAGTACTTGATGATGAAGCTAACATGACATTTACTCAGAGGTCTATCCATCATCTTGCCTCACTGTGGGCAATCAGGACATCCAGCATCTTGGAGTGTGAGGCAGCTGAAGAGTTATGTACAATTGTTTATGTACGTACATTATTTAAAAAGTAAGTGTACATTCTCTAAGTGGTTAACAAACTTATTGGTGTAGGTTGAGGTAACCTATCTTGTGAAACCAGAGGACAATATTTGTCCTCCATCCCTGTCATCGGATGATGAAGTTGAGAATCCAAGAGTTGCTTACATTGAGCGACTGTTGTTAGCTGGTCATGAGTGAAAGGAGGAAGAATGGGTTGGAGGTTATGCTGCATTTCCAAAGCAGGAGCGCCCACCACAATTTGGAGAGATACGTGAGTGTAAATGTTATTTTAATACTTTCTGATTATTGTCCCTTGAAGACCAATCAATGATTAAACTGGTCTATCGTAGGTGTGAAGAAGAAGAAAAAAAATGTACCAGCCCCGAATGCACCTGCTTTGAAAAAACATAAATCTGTTGTGGAAGAAGAAAATGAGGACACTGCTGAGGATTGTTCTGAAGATCCCCAGTTTGAGAAGTTTGTAGTTGAACTTAGGAGGTGTTTCAAGAGGCAGGAAGCACAAAATAAACAAATGCAAGAAGACTTGAAGAAATTTGTCCGTAAGGAGATACATGCTGCCTTAGATCCAAAGGGCAAAAAGACAGAACCAACCAAAACTTCCCATGCTTCACAGGACCCAACTAAATCGGTGGTTAAGGCACCGATGAGTGTGAAGAAGGCATCTAAAAGGATGTCTACAAAGAAAGTCTTCAAGTCTGGAACAAGAAAGTCTTCAAGGCTGAAGAATATAATGACGTCAGTTGCGGAGATTACTCAGCTTTCTGATGGTAACTCTTCCTCTGAGGAAGATGACCAGGTATGGCATATACGTACATTTATATATAGTATTTTAAATGTACGTACATGAAGATTAATAACTGTAACTTGTCTGCTATGGTATAGGATGAAGCCAACAATGAAGGTGGTTTTATTGCAAATGATGGAGGAGATTTTTCGAACAGAGACGAAGATATGGTTGACACTGGAGTAGCTAACATTTCAGTCGGTGGACCTACACCTTCCTATCAGGTATTTCGTGTACAAATATTTTTATCAATTATTTCCAGTTGTGTACGTACACATAGGCTTCAGAAGTGTATGGTATACTATGTTTCAGGATGAAGGAGCACGTGATGGTGGTGAGTCTGTCCTTGTTGGTACACAGTCAGGGACCGAGGAAAAAGCTAGTGCTGACACAGAGATGGAAGAAATTCCATCTCCTGTACCTTCAACCTCTGTACAGGTATGTCTTGTGCTAATAGTCACATACTGTTTTCCATAAGTGTACGCGTATCAATTATTTTCAGTTCTCCACGTACATATAGCTTAAGAAGTGTATGGTATACTATGTTTTAGGATAAAGGACCAATTGATGGTGGTGGGCCTGTCGTAGTTGGTACACAGCCAGGGACAGATGAAAAACCAACTGCTGACACAGAGATGGTAGAAAATCCATCAGGTTTACCTGCAATATCTGGACAGGTATATGGTCAGCTAATAGTCAAATGTAGTTTTCCATATGTGTACTCACATAAAGCTTAAGACGTGTATGGTATATTTGTTTCAGGGAGAAGAACATGGTGCCGGTCTTGAGAGTGAAGCAAATGTTGGGGAGCAACCAGAAATTTGTGAGGATAATGATAGAGATACATCTTCTCAGGCTGAACACACCGAGGAACCCGGTGTAAGTGTACGTACATTTGTCTTTCTTATTTCCCGTGTACGTATAAGTAATGATTGTTTCAGACATCACAAAATAGAGGATATAGCCGATGAAGTTGATAACTACTGCCACAGGTTGATGCGGGAGATGTACCCAATGTAGTTCCAGAGAGTAAAGTGGATGACTCAGTACTTGAGGGCATCCTAGGGGATCCCCCTTCACCATTTGCAGTAGTTAAGAATGTAAGCTAACTATATTTTTAAATAAAATAGTGTAGGCTTTTTTAAATTTATAATCTTCTATTATGCAGGTGTTACAGGAGTTGGCAACGAAAGCCTCCATGGATGTGGATGCAGCTAATGTAAAGGAGGTAAAAATCTCGTGTTTGGTTTAAAATTATACACAGTTATTAACATACGTACATAGGATTGTATGCGTACATTTAAATAATTATGCACGTTAATTTGAAAAGGGAGTGTTGGAGCAGCAGGGGATTGTCGACGGGGTGGAAGAACAAGAGGATTCAAACCCAGGGTTAGATGAAGCAGACACGACAGTTGGTACACTGGAAAATATTGTGAGTATCTTGCCAGTAAATATTATCATTACATTTTGAAATTGTTTAATCATGGTGTTTACAATAATACTTCTTTACAGGATGAACCAAACAACGATGCTGCACTCGAAGCAATAGCAGTTAAAATTCCTACGCCGGTTGTACCCAAAAAAGTGAAGAAGCAAATAATTTTTGAGGTGGATGAAGCCCTTCTGGAAGGTTTTAAGGAAACAACAGTCCTCGTGGAGGATGTTCCTGGACGAGCTAAAGATTCAGAGGTGGTTATAGCGGCTGGAAATGTCCCTTACAACCCCTTGGAGAAGGTTGACGCTTCCAAATTAGAGCTCTTAACCAATGTCCTCCGCGGTCCGAATGTGTAAGTATCGTGCATTATCAAAATTATCCCTTAATTGATACATTGGTTTTCTATAACAACCAGTCATACTATAATATTGGATATACAGGAAGCACACTCTTTTCGGGTATCGCAAAGTGGACAACGAGTTTTTCTCCATGCTTATAGCACAAGGAAAGTGGGTGGATAATATGGTAAGTTGAAATAGTACATTTCTGTACATTTTTCAAATATGCCTGAAGTGTACGTACACTGACTGTCTATGCTATTATCATTTAAGGTCTTGGAAATGCTCGCAATCTTGATGTGGCACAAGAACGGTCAACAAATGATAGCAAACCGATGCGTTGTTTTGGACTCCTTCATGCTTTATGAGCTTACTAAGCGTGCTGTCAGCTTCAGGAATTGTATAAATAAGCTTGGGTTTAAATGGGGCGACCGGCTATACGACATGGCCAATGGAATACACATACACCGTGAACCTAGTCTTAGGTGGTTCAAGGATGTCGACGTGGTATATGCTCCGATGAACTAGAAAGGTGATCATTGGGTTGGGTTGGCAATCCACCTCAGAGCCCGGCATATAGTTGTCTATGACGCTCTCATATAACACACGCGGGAGTCTGTTGCATGGTCAAAGATGCAGCCTGTCTGCGAGATGATGCCGTACCTAGTGAGAGCGATGTGCGCAGATGTATTGCCTGAGAAGTACTCAATTGAACCTTTTGCCTATGAGAGAAATGTTATGGTCGCTCAAAACCCAAGTACAGGAGATTGCGGGCCTTACGCAATGAAGTTCTTGGAGTTGCTGGCGTTTGGTAACCCAATGTCAGACTTGGTGAATATTCAAGAAGCAGATATGGCCACCTACCGTCAGGTGTACGCAACAGAAATCTACGAGCACGGCAAGCGCGAGTGTTGTAATCGGCGTTTATTGTAATCATCCCTGGATGTTGAATTATTATTATTTTCTAGTACTTATTTCCTTATTTTCAACAACCTAATTAGAACAACGTAATTAATTATGGAGATCCTAAAAATATTTATGTAATCGTTATAACTATCTTCTCTAAACAATCTGCACATCGTACACTTATTCAAAAACCAACATGTGTACGTACATCTTATATAACGTACGTCTTTTACACAAAAGTCGATTTTTCTCATAATAAGATATCTATTTCTTTACTTACATTGATTTGACAACCCTCCCTCACTGCATCATCACTTACGTAAGATTGCATTAACTACAACCATAACTTAACCAACTAACTTCATTGTTCTTTATTTAAGAGTAGGAATTGCATTGTTTTGAAACACCAAATTCCAAGAAATGTCTACACCAAATCTACCTGAAGATTTGCTAGCCAAGATAGCAAAAAAAATGGCTGACAAATGTTGGTGGTACCTCGGACCTCTGTTAAGATCAGGGCGTGGTGGAAGAAACATTGTCTACAGGCTGGATGTCATGAAAGATGCTAATATTTATAGCATGTGCAGTAATCCCGATGACTTCCATGCGGCAGGCCATGATCCGAATGACATCAACGCTGAAGGTCGATATAGACCCTTTTTCAAAAGGTGTCTAGAGGCTGGTAACCCGATTGCTATTTACCATGAAGGACTGCGTCTAGTTACCCATGAGTCTGACATTAAGGGCGCCATTGTACTTTTACAGCGGAATGTACCAAGTCACGCCGATGCAACCCTGGCCTGCGCTATTCTGTGCATATGCGACGGGAATGCTCACATGGGTGGTGTGTACCTACGCCTGTTCGCAAACAACCATTACGCTTTGGAATCAGAAGAAACATGTGACATGTGTGAGGAACTCCTAGAAGAAATAAAAAAATATGGAATTAGGTTAAACAACACATACGGCGCAACCTTTTCGTACCCTGAGGAACGTGGTATTCAAACGCCTCCTTGCGCGATGCTGTTTTACATTAGATCTGGACCCTTCAAGAATGTGTGCAACGTATGTTACCTCTGGTGATGTGCGAGAAGAATTAGTCAAATTCTCTAGGCATTTCTTCCGTAATATTATCTGAATTTCTAAGTTTTTATGTTATAATATGTGGCATTTGCAATTGTACTTTGCTTATCAGTAATGCATGTTTTTTTATCTACATCCTTGCTTGTTTCTCATATAATACTCAATCTTATGAATGGTTACAGATAATTGTAATATTTTATAATAAATTGAGAAACAAGTTTCTTAATGTTAGATAATGGTGCCTTGTCTACACAGGCTTACGAATTATCATTAAATACATACTGACCTGATTAGCCATTGATAATGACCTCTATCTTTTCAAAAAAAAAAAATATATCCCCATATATACGTACACATCTCTGTAATTAATGTACACTGTCTTTTGTCAGATAAAACGAAATTGCAAAATAAAGAGATTTGGTTTTTAATGCGTTTCCCCCAGATTTAGCCATATACATGAACTCAATCTTTTCCCCTTAATTCGGCGACAGACATCAACTCAAACTTTTGGTCAGAGAACGTAATAAGGGTAGACATACGTACACGGGTATACGTTACTGTGTAAAAGTATTTTAGTTGGTTTGAAACTAGAAATATGAGAAACGACTTTCGAGATGGTAGTAAATGATGATGCAATGCTGATTGATTTGACATGTATAATAACCCATATCTACAAGTTTTGGAGTGATTATTTATTGCATACTGTCAAGCTCTATTCATAGAAATGACCTCTATCTTTTCGCATAAATCTCCCAATTATACGTACACGGTTTGCAATTAATGTACACTGGCATTTGTCAGATAAGAGGAACTTTAAAATAATGACACTTTTTTAATGCGTTCCCCCCCCCCCCAAATGTAGCCATATACATGAACTCAATATTTTATCCCTATATAAACTATATCACACACACTAATTTATTTTCTCACATTCTTCTAAAACCTCCTTCATTCATCAACTGCAAGATTATTTCTAAACCTCCTTTGTTAACAACATGGCTTTCTCCGCAACCCCTCCAACCGAGATGTACCTTGTAATACAATTGCCAAATCCGATTTTCGTCCTCATCAACCAACTGCCCGTATCCCAGACTCCTATCGAGACACTCCGCCACTTGGTCGAAGCAAGTGACGTAAACGCAATAGTGATGGACGACTTCATCACATGGCCTCACTTCGTGCAGCCGGAGTCTCCCTTCAGGGCCTACTTCAGCCTCTTGCTGGAAAGGGGTGCGATCGCGGCTATATACCTCGAAGGTGTCCACCAGGCAAGCAGCTTCCTAACGGTGTCCCACGGCATTACACTACTCAACTCCGTCGCTCCATCCAACCCTCTCGCCTGCTTTGCGACCAGCTTATTCCTAACTTGCACTGGCAACCATGTCGACTTTCTTCCAGTCAGCGATATGTTCTGGGCGATGACACCCACATTAGCGGCAGCTCACGCAGTGGGGGAGCTGGTGATGTATCACATAAGCCAGCTTCACACCGAAGGTCCTCGGCTCTGGCAACGTTCATGGAGGTATGTGCACACACCGGCATGTGTTGGCCTTTGCACGTACAGTTCCGGCTGCAGAGGGTGTTTCTTTTACTGGTACGCGAGGGAGATGTGTGTCTTCTATTAGATATGACTTTGATAATGACGGATGAGGCATACAATTTTCCAGCTCATGTGTATGCTTCGGGCTCTACTTTTTAGTTTATTGCTTCCGCATCTAATATAAGTTGTTTGTCTTTCTTGATTGTATGTCCTTCTTCGGGCACTTAATTATGAATGAATGAAGTTTTTGTTGTTTGAGGACAACAATTATGATATATGTATATTTTTGTGTACGTACACGGGTTTCGTACAATTTGCTGTTTGAAGAACCAAAAAGCTAGTTAAACGTACACTGGCAAATTAATTGTAATTGTAGACGCTGTACGTATAAAATGTACGTACAATTACCCAATAGTTTATTATACAAAGTCAAGTAATTAGAAAACGACAACAAGTTTATGTAGTTTTACAATACTTAATATAAATCTGGTCTTTAATAATAAGAAGACGGGGGAAAACAAATCCCCCTAACTCAAAAACGACCTGCTTGATCTCTTCTACTTCCGGTGTGTCCGGATCGGCAAAGACCTTTGACACAGGACCATGACTCACAACCTTCGGATTAGCTCTGTCGGTTAAACGCCAGAAGACGAGTGCGACAACAACATTGCGCTGACCTAGACTCTGAAAGAAGGTTTGGAATTCCAACGCCTGTTCATTGTGTGCTTCGCATTCCAAAACTTC